TTACATGAATACTGTATAAAACAATAAAATGTGAGGTATAAATAGAAATTAAAATATGCATGACAAGATTTTGAATAAGTATTTCATGAAATAAGAGTAGAAAGAAAAGCAGTATTTCAACATTAATATATATATATTTTTTTGAGACAGGCTCTCACTCTGTTGCCCAGGCAAGAGTGCAGTGGCACCATCACAGCTCACTGCAACCTCAAATTCCTGGGCTCAAGCAACTCTCCTGCCTCAGCCTCCCTAGTAGCTGGGACTACAGGTGCACACCACCATGCCCAGCTAATTCTTCTATTTTTTTGTAGAGACGGGGGTCTCACTCTTGCTCCTGGCCTAAAGCAATCCTCCCACCTCAGCCTCCCAAAATGCTAGGATTATAGGCATGAGCCACCACACTCAGCACGAAGGCAGTGGAATAATCATAGCTCACTCCAACCTCAAACTCCCGGGCTCAAACAATCCTCCTGCCTCAGACTTCCGAGTAGCTAGAACTACAGATGCACACCACTACATCCAGCTAATTTTTTTTTTGTGAGATGGGGTCTGGCTATGTTGCCCAAGCTGGTCTCTCTAACTCCTGGGCTCAAGCAATCCTCCCACCTCGGCCTCCCAAAGTGCTAGGATTTCAGGCATTAGCCACCATGCCTAGCCAAGTTTTATATTAATATTTAGAAAAAAACAATCTTCTGCCTTTTCAAAACTTTAAACTTTTTATTGAGGTATGACATACATACAAAAAAAAATATACAATCACGAATGTACTGCTGGGTAAATTTTCACAAGGCAAATAAATACGCTGTGTGAGTACAACCCAGATTAAGAAACTGAACATTCCCAGCACAGCAAAACCTTTCCTTATGGTGTCTCCCAGGAACTACCTTCTCCTCGCAAAAGTAACCACTTTTCTTGCTAGTTTTGCCTGTTTAGGAACTTTTATATAAAAGGAAACATACAGTATATACTCCTGTGACTGGCTTCTTTCTTTCAATATTGTGTTTGTGAGGTTCACCCATGTTGTTGCTTCTGGCAGTAGTCCATTTATTCTCGTTGCTGTATAATTTACACAATTTATCAACTCCACTGTTGGACATTTGGCTTGTTGACAGTATGAAGCTCTTAGAATTTTTCTTTTTTTTTTTGAGACAGAGTCTCACTCTGTTGCCCTGGCTAGAGTGAGTGCC